CAGCGGGGCTCGGGAAGTGCGAATGCATGCTCTTGTCAGGAGCGCTGCCCCCTGAACCTTCTTGCTTTGGAAAACCTCGCACCGCCCTGTGGTTCTTCTGCACTAAAGTGCCAGACTCTGCAAAATGAAGAAAAACAAAAGCCAATGGACAAGAAGACCAGCTGCTGGCTGTCTCCATGGGAACATGAGTTGCGGCTCCTGGAGTATCTATTAGGTGCTTATTCCACTAGGGCAGTGGTTCTCAACCTTCTGGCCCTTTAAATATAGTTCCTCATGTTGTGACCCAACCATAACATTATTTTCGTTGCTACTTCATAACTGTAATTTTACTACTGTTATGAATCATAATGTAAATATCTGATATGCAGGATGGTCTTAGGCGACCCCTGTGAAAGGGTCATTCGACCGCCAAAGGGGTCGCGACCCACAGGTTGAGAACCGCTGCACTAGGGGCACACAAAATGCAAGGAAGCTTCCAGAACTCTGCCCCAAAGCAGTAAGGGTGGTGCTGGCAAAGTCGGGAGTGGTGATGAGGAGGGCTGAGTTCTGGGGGGTCATCTGCTGGGCTTCTTGTCCCCGTCTCTGTCTCCGTGGGAAGGTGCACACCCAGTCCACTGGAAACAGTTGATCCAATTTTTTTCTCATTAATTTTATAATAAAATGAAATTGAACGAAACACTATTCAAAGACCTGCTGTCCTACACTATGCCACTTGGCAGAACCAGGGGCAGGCTGGAGCTGGCTCTTTCTGGAGTGGCCAATCTTTCCAACTCCAAGGTTGGTGATGTCACTTGGGGAGCCTGACATTTGTCATGGCATCAGTAGTTACATTGTGGAAATTAGCAAAGAGAAACCAGCCAGGCTTCCTCTTTCGGAGACCCAGCTGGCCCACCCGCTCACCTTTGGATATTGGCGATTCAGGTGTGCTCTGCTAGCTTTGTTGATGGACTCTTACTAATCCTTACATTCTCAGAATCCTCCTTCTTCCTCCAGGTCCCCTCCCCCTGATCCTGTGCTTTTCCTAATGCCCAGACCAGAAAGCCGGCAGACCCTGGGGCAGGAAGGGGAGCAGCCATTCCTCAGAGGGCTGCTTTCAGACCTGAGGCCCCGCATGGGCCATTGGGTCTTTCCACATCATTAATTGGTCCTTATTCCTTATAGACTGACACACCAAGTTTCCCAGGGTGATTTGGGGTGGGGGGGGGAAAGGGGCATGGGGGGGTGTCCTCCTAGCCCCACAGGCCTCCTCTTTCATCGTTAACCTTTCAGAACTAGAATTATCAAGGCAGGGGAGGGTATCTAGTAGATTTCCCATCTTGCACCTTTCATCTGGTTTGGATTGGGGGTGTATGGCCACCTGGGAGCCCTGGGAAATTCTTGGGCACTGTTCAGAGGGACGGCAGGGGGTGTTTGGTCACAGGACCCCCATTGTCCCAGAACCCTGCCCCCAACCCCACAGGAGTGCTAAGCTTTTTGTAAGCCAGGGTGGCAACAAATCTTTCAAGAGGCTGTTTGAAAATGCTTTATGGCACATGGGGTTACAGGCTCTAGCTGAACAAATGGGAAAATTAGTCTACCTTAAAATATCCAAGGCAAGTCATTTCCTATCACCTTGTTTCTTAAATGTACTTAACACCCAGAAGCTGGGCTTCCCAAATATGGATAAGGGTCATCAGTTAAAATGGCAACTGGGAGATAAAAATCTTCCACTTTAATGGCCGCTCATAAAAGGATTCCGTCAGCCCTCTGTTTGGAAAGTGGGGAGTTGGGACTAACAGCAGCAGTCATTAAGTCTTCTAGACTTTAACAGGCTTCGGCTCTTGAGCTGGCCAATGAGCAGGACCTTACCTGCGTCCACCACGTCCACCACGGCTCAGCATCAAACCCTCTGCTGTCCACGGGCCTTCCCCAGGTCTCACGCCTTGGGTTTGTCTTGTTTTGTTGTTTTTCTCTGATGAAACAAACGATTTGCTTTTCTAGCTCCTTTCTCCAAATTTCTAAACTGTTCCTCGCCCCATGAAGAGAGTTACTATTGACAACCAGAGTGACAGTGAGTCCACTTATTTTCTTGTATTCTTTTTCCTTTTTTGAACGTTTTTGCTCTTCTTTTCACTCCCTTTATTCGTTCATTTCATTCATTCACTCATTCATTTATTCCATTCCATTCCTTCATAAGGATTTATCAAATAATGTCTACTGATTAGGAACTAAGAATGTTAATTCCTAGGGATATGGTAGTATACCAGTCAGGAATCTGGCCTGCAAAGAGCTTAGTTACTCATGGGAGTGGGGGGACCACACAAGTGCAAGCAGAGGGGAGAGAGCAGAGCATTGTGGGCCTGCTCCTAAGAGGTAGAGAAGGCTGCATTTGACCTATGACCTGAAAGATGAGCAGGAGTTTGCAAGGGAAGCAAAGGGGAAGAGTGTACCAGACAAGCAAACAACAGGTGCAAAGACCTGAGGCACAAGGCAGTTCAGCTTAGCAAAGGCACTGAATTAATGCTGAAAGGTGGAAGGATGAGGAGAAGTGGTTAGCGATGTTACTGGAAAAATCAGCAAGAGCTAAATAATGGAAGGTCTAGAGCACGAGGGCAAGAAGGTGGGACTGGATCCAGAGAGCCATGAGAAGGTTGGAGCAGAGAGAGACATGATGAATAAAATGACAATAATGAAGGATTAACCGATTCTCCATCACACGGTCACAGCCACCTTTGAACAGGGGCCGCTGAGTTCCTCCAGATGCCTGGTGTCCTTATCAAATGAGTGATCTGGCCTTAAAGTTGATGACTGGGGGTGGGAGGAAGGGGAGGACGGCCATGACTCACAGGGGCCTGACAAGAAACCAGCCCTGGAACTTTAGATGCCAATGAGAATAAGTGAAATCCCTGGGGCTCCCCACAATTGGTCCTTTTTGAGGGGGGAGGCTGGACACTAAGATGCAGGGTCTGTTGAACATTATAACATCCTCCCTGCACATTTTGGCAGGCGAATTAGTTCACAGGCCATGAATTTGAGTCCCTAAATTCTAAACCTTGGCTGGGGAAACATTTGATAAATGTGTCCTGCTCCTGGAATAAAGACCCAGAGCACAAGCAAACCATGAAGTTCAGCCTGTGTCACAGCAAGAGAAGCCCCAGACCACACACACACACACACACACACACACACACACACACACACACACTCATGCACACACAACCTCCCTTTCTTTTCTTTCCTTCAAATATCAGTTGTTAACATCAATTCCTAACATATCTCCTGCCTAAAAGGTATACAAGTGACCCAAAAGTGACCAAAAGATGATGCGCACTTAGGAAAGTTGGAGATGGGGTAGCTCAAGAAGAAAAAAACCAGTCAGTCAAGAAGAACCATGAATCCAAACATCACATTATAAAATGTTTCAGTCTTTCGTGGGTTTATAGTATCTCCAAAACTCCTGTCCTATTTTGTGGGCTTACAGGAAACCACTGCACACACCTCATTTTATTCTCTAGACAACCTTACCCTGCTGTTACCACTTGAGAAAGTGACAGAGAAGGGCTGGCCTTTAATTACTGGCCGAACACCTAGGTTACAGAGCTCAAATCCTTTTCATGATGCGTAAAGCCACACCAGAGGCCTTGATTAGCTTGTTCCTGGCTCATTAGAACCTTTCTTTGGCGTTCTTTCCCACCCCCTAGATCAGTGATGGAGAACCTATGACACGCGTGTCAGAGGTGACACGCGAACTCATTTTTTTGGTTGATTTTTCTTTGTTAAATGGCATTTAAATATATAAAATAAAGATCAAAAATATAAATCTTTGTTTTACTATGGTTGTAAATATCAAAAAATTTCTATATGTGACACGGCACCAGAGTTAAGTTAGGGTTTTTCAAAATGCTGACATGCCGAGCTCAAAAGGTTCGCCATCACTGCCCTAGATCAAGATGGGAATTAGGAGAGCCTAATTCTCAAATACATGCTAAATCTAAGAGGTATGAAAAGTGTTAGAGGCAGATGAAGTGGAGAAGAGGCTATGTAAAGACGACTTCCCACCGGTGGAGCCTCAAGACAGCACCCTGAAATCCTGTCTGATCTTTTGTTGTGGAAAGAGTTCTTGGGGCAGCAGACACTTCCATGCATTAAAAAAAAAGTGAACAACATTCAAAATGGTGCCTTGTCATAACCAACAACTCCCAGGAGCTATGCCCATCACCACAATCTGTCAAGGAAGTCGGTCGTGTTTAAAACCCATTTCCCATGAAAGCACCCCCTCCCCACTGTGCCGTTTTTGTGAGTGAAATTCCAATGGTCATCTCTGTTGAGAGAGCTGCCTCCGGCAGGGAGTTAAAAATAAATCTATCTCGGCAAGACGGGGAATTGTTCGTGGGGACGGAATTAAACTTCAGCACTTCTTCCTTTTCTCAATTGTACTTTTGTTCCTAGCTTTGGCTGGGAGAGAGTGCACACATTTAGTTGGGAGTTTATGAGTTCATATTTTATAATTAACGTTGCCAACAGGGGAGTTTGATTAATACCAAGCAGTGGATTTTGAGCAATGTTCCATACAAATTGCCAAATTTAGCAATAAAATAAATTGGTTATGTGCACATAATTAGTAGGATGACTACTTAAAATTCAAACCCGAATGTGAATAATTCCAAATCATCTGAGCCACAAATCCATTATTTGTATAGAAGGGGGAAAGTATAGCATTTGGGTTTTATTTTGCCCTCAACCACAATGTTATTCATCACCAGGCTGAACATAATGAAACTTCTACAATGAGTTGGGACAATATTTTAGAGCAACCCCGAAACACACACACACGCGTGCACAGGCACACACAAAGGGAATGCCATAAAGGTAAGAAATACTCCACTGTGAATTTTCACTGCAAATGTAAAAATCTATGATAAAAATTTTCAGCAAATGCATTACATGTTCCTGATGCGCTATCCATAAACCTCTGGCACACAATTACTCAGCAGAGCCTTGCCTTTAAATATTCACGGTACCTTATTGTCACCCTGGACTTCTCCGAGCCTTTGCTGCAGTTCTTTGATTTCTTCTCCCAGGTGTTTATTTCGGTCCTGAGAGTCTCTCAATAGTTGTACAAGGTTAGCCTGGAAATATCAACACATTAGGAGATACAATCAGAAACGGAGGAGCGGACAGATGTGAGGCTTTATTAGGCTCGAGGAGGCCGGTGTGCAAGCCCGGCTGAGCCACACAAAGCCCATCGGAGGAAAGGCGTGTATGAATGCAGCAAGTGTGCGCATCAGGCCCCGACGCTGCCTGGAGGAAATGAAGTTGGCCGTGAACCTCCATTTGGGGATGTTCTTTGTTTCCAGAATAGCTCACAGGTAAGTAATAAAAAAGTTGTAAAAAAAATGTAAGAGCTCTTCACTAAACATCTTGCAAGTGGACATCGAGTTCAATTCTAAAATCTGGGTCAACAATATAGGAAAAGTTCCATTTCCTTGTTTAGATTGTTCCTCCCCACCCCCCTTTCAAATAGATCTTGTTTCATGAATTTTTCTTTGCTACTTCAATGCCCAGAATTTTGATCACATCATGTGCCACAGTTTCAAAAGTCAGGGTCCAGAGATAATTCACGTCTCCTGGGTTGGTTTTCCCACCTTATTCCCAAACAAGGACAATCACCTGCCAGTCTCATCTTCATGACGTCATCCCTTCCTTAAGATTTGCACCCTGCTCAGACCCAGATCCCTCAGCCCGTGTGGGAGGTTGTTCAACCCCACTTCATCTCACACCATGACTGCCCTTTCCCTGTAACATGTGGGCACCTTTTACTACATTCCCACCCCTCTCCAGGTTCCCCAAATTTGGAATTGTTTGCTCTCCCAGCTATGGGCATGCTTTCATCCACTTAAGCCTGTAACTTATCATTCCACTGAGCCTCATGTGGCTTCCTGTTCTGTGGTACTATTTTGCATTTTGCTAGCTGTCATTTGTTCCAATTCTCACCTTGCTTATTGCATTCTCATCTAACATTAGCAAGAAGACTGCAAGCTATGGAGAGGCAGAGATTCCGTTCTCTGCTTCCTCACCTATAGGAAGCCTGTGTTCCACCTAATGGTTTAAAGACTCATGATGGCCCAGCCAGTGTGGCTCAGTGGTTGAGCATCGACCTATGAACCAGGAGGTCATGGTTTGATTCTGGTCAGGGCACATGCCCGGATTGGAGGCTCAATCCTCAGTGTGGGGCATGCAGGAGGAAGCTGAGCAATGATTCTCTCACATCATTTCTGTTTTTCTCTCTCTCTTCCTCTCTGAAATCAATATATATATATAAAAGACTCAATGAATAAAAGAGGGAAGGAAGGAGGGAAGGAAGCAAGCAACCAGAATATGAGTCCTGGAAAGCAATCGATCGGAAATCATCACACAGGCATTTTAACGATTACCTCGTACAGTCCCTTCATGTTATAGCTGAAGAAAACTCGGGTCCAGAGCCGTTAGGATCCTAGTGTAACTGTAGTGGCTAAATCTCCCAAGACTGCAATGCTACCACATTGCGGAATACTCAGGTATGCTAGGTGCTCAAAAGAGAATAAAGGTGAAAGAATGTAAAATTAAACCTGGGCTCATCCTTGACTCCTCACTTTATCTCATCTCCCATATCCCATCTTTTGTCTCTACACTCAAGGTATCCCCCACCCAAGTCAGCTCCCCTCCAGCTCCTTGCTGTTCCCCATACATACCAGGCATGAGCCCAGCTCAGCACTGTCGCACTGTTCTCTCTCACTGGAATGCTCTCCCTCCAGAATACCTCTTGGCTCACACCCTCATTTTTTTCAGGCCCTGTTTAAAGTTCATGGGATCAAGGGGGCCCACCTAAACCTAAACCACTTCATCTAATACTGCAACCTGCCCACCTCCACCCTGAACTCCCAAGCCCATTCCCTTACACTACTTTTTCTTTTCTTCCATAGCACTTGTCATCTTTTTTTAAAACATGTTTTTATTGATGAGAGAGAGAGAGAGAGAGAGACATGAATGAGAAACATTGATCGGCTGCTTCCTGCATACCCTCTACTGAAGATTGAGCTCACAACCCGGGCATGTGCCCTGATCGGAAATTGAACCAGTGACCTCTTGGTTCATGGGTCAACTCTCAACCACTGAGCCACACCGGCCAGGCAGCACTTGAGCTTACTTTCTGGTGTATTGCTTACTACTTATTTCCTGTCTCCTTCTCCCTACTAAAATGGAAGTTACATGAAGGGCAAGGAACTTTGTTTTATCTACTGATCTGCCTCAGCACCTAGTAGATATTTCATAAATATTTTTCTTAATAAGAGACAATATGCTGAGCCTGGAGGTTGTGATCTCAGCCTGGGAGGGAGCTGGAATGATGACAACAATGACCAACACTGGAACCAGTACTGGCATGGGCCCTTGCATGAAAAAGCCCACTCATCCCCACGGGCTGGGTTTAACAATCCCTGGCTTCTACTCACTTATTTGTGGATGTTACTCAATAATGTGATCTCAGGTTTTTACTGCGTATTTGCAAAGCTCTTATCTTGTAATCGTTGCATTCCAATCCTCCCAGATTCTGTTCTCAGCAGATAAAAATTTGTTGAAGGATGAGAAATGTTAACTCCCACTTTATAGGGAAGAACACAGAGAATCAAGGGACATTGTAATCAACAAGCTATTTTTGGAAACATCAATGGAATCAGAAAGACTAAGTTGGATCCCAGTCCTGCCACTTACTGAGCTGGGTGACCCTGGGTGAGTTTCTTAACCACTTGAGTGTCCCCATCTGTAAAACGGAGTCACCATATATACTTCATGTGGGGCCTTGATATTAAAATTGAGCAATGAAGACAGGACATGTACCACAGTGCTTGGCATAGATAGGTGCTGGTTCACGGCTGGTTGCCTCCCTTGATTATGTCCTTCCACTTGCCCCAACTCAACCACACCAGGAACCACTGGGAAGATCTGGCCAAATGCCTCCTTGGGCACAGTTGGCTCCTTTGTGATCCTGGTTCTTCACTGTTCCTTACTCATCTATCTATTTATATAATAAATATTTATTGAGCACCTTCAGCAGTGAGCAATACACATAACCCCTTACCCTTGTAAGCATGCATTTTAACAAATTATATTATAATAGAGGCCCTGTGCACAGGTGGGGTCCCTCGGCCTGGCTGGTGATCAGGGCCGATAGGGGCCATCTTGCCCAGTCCCGATCAGGCTGATTGGGGCTGGCCAGCAGGGGAGGAACTGCAGAAGGTTGGTCGGCCACCAGAGGTTGGCTGGCAAGTGCACTGACTACCAGAAGGAAGCTCCTGCGTTAAGCATCTGCTCCCTGGTGGTCAGTGCATGTCATAGCGACCAGTTGACCGGTTGTTCAGTCGTTCAGTCGTTTGGTTGCTTAGGCTTTTATATATATAGATATATTATATTATATTATATTATATTATATTATATTATATTATATTAAATAATGACCAGTAGTTGGATGGTTACCGCCATGGAGAAAAATTGAGCAGGCAAAGGGAACTGAGTGTGCAGGAGAAAGAGCCACAGAGGCCTCACTGGGAAAGCCACCTTTCAACCAAGACTTGGAAAAGGGGCCAGAGTGAGCAAGACCCTTGTAATCCCGGGGGAAGTTCCAGCTACTGGCTTCCCTCACTCCCTCTCCCCATCACATCGAAAACTTCCACTTTGGAGAGCAGTTCACCCCAGAGACTACATGAAGTGGACAGAGGATTCAGTTCTTGATTTTTTCCCCCAGTTCTTTTCCTGGTTCCACCCGTTCCTCCTGTAGGTCTTCTTTCTCAGCACAAACTGTCACAGGTGGGCAACCTCTGCTTTTCCTCCATGCAACTCCAAAACAGTTCCCAGACATTTGCTCAGCAAGCATAATCCCTTTCCACCAGACGGGGGGACATGCCCCAGGTCCAGTAACCGGCCCAGAGGAGGAGGAGGAGCCCAGGGCTGAAGGCAGCCTCCCAGGGCCCGCTGCCGCCTGCACATGGTCAGGCATCTCAGCACCCCATCTGCAGGGGACACAACAAAATCCACCTTCACAGCACCTGCCTTTTCTTCAGCGGCAGAAGAGATGCCCAGAGAGACATGCTTATAACAGTAATAGTGAAAACTTCATAAAAGACAAACAATTGCCCAAAAACTGCAATGCCCTAACCTTCCCTGTTTGAATCGATAATGGCTTGAGCCTCTCAGGTGGGGTGGATGTTCGCCGACCAGCATCACCGCAGTATCTAAGTCAGTACAACTCCACGTGTCCATGGTGAAAGACCGGTTCTCTACCTCTACTCCATCACAAACCAGCACTGTTACAAAATATAATGGAAATCAACTACTAGGAAAATGAATTTAAGAAATCAAGACTCCAAGTGTTTGTTAGATTCAAAAATCCTGCTGTCTGCCCGGCCAGCGTGGCTCAGTGGTTGAGCATCGACCTATGAACCAAGAGGTCACGGTTCGATTCCCAGTCAGGGCACATGCTGGGGTTGCAGGCTCAATCCCCAGTGTAGGGTGGGCAGGAGGCAGCCAATCAATGATTCTCTCTCATCATTCATGTTTCTATTTCTCTTTTCCTCTGCCCTCCTCTCTGAAATAAATAAAAATATATTTTTTTAAAAACCCTGCTGTCAGATTGCTGTCAAAGTTTCTGAACACTTCCTCTTCATTTCTGCACTGAGCTTGTCCAGCAACAGCAGCCTGAGCCGGGCACTGGTCCTTGGGCATCACTTTGAACAGCGCTGAGCTCAGCGATGCTCCACAGGATTTAGACCTCAGAACAGGGCTGGCACCCGGTATATACCTCCAATGATACATAAAGCAGAGAACAGGGCTGCTTCAGGGAACAGCGATTCAGAGACCCATTGATGTGACTGTCAAACATGATTTACTCTGCAACCTGGCTCAAAAGAAATCTACCAAAATAAAATCAGTAGCGTCTACAGTGGCTGCAAAACAATAGTCAATCAAGTGAGTTCACAGTAAATCTACGCTAGCTTTAAAACTGACCCCTGGGGTAGGCTGGGGTGGGGAGGTGTCCTGCGTTAGGGCAGGTGACTTGTAATTTTCTTCTATGTTTCACAGGCTGGAGTACTTGTCA